CATCCCTGGAGCTCAACAAAGCCAACCCAGCCAAGACCCACTTTGGGCTGGAGATGGGTTGGAGTTGACCCCAGCTCCAAAAGGATGGAGGAGAAATGGTTGCAAGGCTGAGTTTTCTTCCACTTTGAAAGCAAGGGAAGGTTTCCACAGGACTTCCAACCCCCAGGAAGGAGGGAGGGAGGTCCAGGCAGGACTTGGCTGTGCACAGGGAGGGATTAAAGCAAGCAGGAGGTTGGCTCGGCCAGCGAGACACACCGAGCCTGGCTCTGGCTCTGGCTCTACATTCCATACATTCCCATGTTCTTGCAGTTCAATCTTTGAAGAAGAACCTTTGTTTTGTTGTTTTTTGTTTTTTTTGTTTTTGTTTTGTTTTTTTTTGTGTGTGTGTGTGTGTCCCCTTTAGAGAAAAGTGCTTTGCTGGGTTCTGCAGGAGGAAAGGATGCTCAAGATTCTCTTGAGTGCCAACTTCTCTCCCTGCCAAGGAACCTCTCCTGCTCGAGGAAGTGCTAATTTCAGTTATAAGTTCAGGGTAAACATGGGTTGGTTTTTGTTTTGTTCCAAAGGGAAAGCAGTTTTCCACTGTTTAAAGCACAACCAGAGGGATGCAAGAAAAAAAATAAAAAACAAACCCAAGCACTTAGCAAGAATTAAATAAAGCATGTAATAAATACCAATCATAAACTTCTGTACACAGGAGCAAGGGTTTGGGTTTGGGGTTTTTTTTTAATCATTTAATCAATATAAAAAGAGTTTTTCTGCTTTGTTTTCTTTTTTTTTTTTTTTTGTTTTCAGTGCATCTTCTTTCCTCTTCCAATGCTTAACCCTTTCCTTTCTGCATCTCTCAGGCCCAGAATTACACACACACCTCAATGGCAAACAAAAAAAAAAAAAAAGGAAAAAAAAAAAAAAAAAAAAAAAAGGACAAGGTCTAACAAACCTCTTTTCCAAAAAACTCCTACAAAAATATTCACAGCCTCAAACAGTTTTGTACATTTCAAGCAACAAAAGGTAGAGAAAAAGGCACAAGTAACTGCATACATGTGGAGATAATACCAGACTGGGACAAAGAAAACCAGGATTTTTCCATGGGTTTGGTCATTCACTCGAGTGCTGCTTATCACCAGGATTAGACTAAAGGAAATAGTGTTGAAAAATGTCTTGATTTTACAGAGGAAGCCTAAAGGTGGAACAGATGGTGGAGGCTTAAGTACTTCCTGTGTTTTCATCCACCTTTTTTTGAGTTTGACCTAAATCTGAGTGCTCTAGGTGTGGACTGCTCTTCCTGGAGGTCCCTCCTTGCCCACTGGGCTCTCCAGAGAGGTTTCTCCTGCGCAGGGAGAAGGGTTGGGCGTGTGGATGGTTGGGTGAGGGCTCTGAGAGGCAGCCAGTGCTGCTGCTCCTGTCCAAGGGCTGCGAGGGGATGTCTGAGATGAAAGTGCAGGATGAGTCCAAAGAAGTGCTGGAGCTGCCAGATTGCTTCTTGCCCGGTTGGTGGAAAGATTCTTCCCCACTCCTCAAAGGCTTTGGAGAGTGCTCGTCGTGGCTTGTGCTGGGGGTGGCTGGGGAACAGCCTCCCTGCTCTGCCTGGCTGCACTCAGCCAACGTTTGTACCCTGTATCCCTCCTGCTCTGCCTTCTGCTGAAGCTCACTAGTCCTCATTTTCTCCTCCAAGTAACCACCACTCCTCAACTCTGGGGCCAGGGTGTATTTCGAGACCTTTGCAACTGGGGACACGGATGCCGACGATGGCTCCGGGGGAATTGGTGCTTCCTCATCCCTCCTGGGAGCTTGGCTGAACTCTGTCAAGTTGCTGCCTCCAGAGGCAAAATATCCAGCTTGAAGGGACACCACAGAGCCAGGCACCAAGCTGGAGTGGCTGCTTGGCCTGGCCTGGACCATCTGGATGCCTCCAATGGGGATCATGGGATAAGGAGTCCGCGTGAGCTGCTGGGAATGCAGCGGGAGGTGGCTGAAAACATTCTCCTCCCCTCGGCTGGGAGTGTGGAGATGTAACTCATGAGGTGCCTGCAAAGGTCTGGAGCTGCCAGGCTGTGTGATGCCAGGTGAGCATGATGGGCTTCGTGGTTCTATCTTCTGTGCCAGAGAGGGAAGAGAAAGAGTTGAATCAGTGCAATGAACAAGTGACAGCATTGACATCACTACTGCTCACTACAAGGGTTGGGTTTAGCATTTTTGTTCCATTCCAAGGGTTGGGCTTAGAATTATAGTCTAAGTTGAGGGAGATCAATCAACCCAGGAGGATGTGGGTCCCCCAAAGCTTTAAGGGAAGGAGCAACACAACCCACAGCATTTGCCTCCTGGGTACAAATATACCTGTGGTGTGTTGGGGCACAGATCCAGGGCTTTGCTTTAGGCTGGATCATTACATCAGAGAATGAGTTGGGTTGGAAGGATCATCTAGTCCAACCCCCCTTGGGCAACAGCTTCAACTAGCCCAGGTTGCTCCAAGCCCCATCCAACCTGACCATCAGTGTTCCAGGGATGGGGCATCTACCACCTCCCTGGGCAACCTGTGCCAGTGTCTTACCACCCTCATAGTGAAAAATACCTTCCTTAGATCCAGCCTGAACCTACCCTTGTTTAGCTTAAAACCATCACCCCTTGTCCTATGCTAACTGAACCCCCAGAAGAGGATGTTTCCTGCCCTCTGAGCTGCTTTGGATCCCTTTCAGTCCAGGAGGATTCTGAGAGCCCAGAAATAGGTGATTTACTGTACTTTTTAAAGCAGGATTGCATCCTTCCAGCTGCTAATTGCAAGGCTCCTTTGGATGGCATTCAGTCTCCTTTGAGCAAAGCACACCCAGCAGTGTGTCCCCACCACCACCCTCATGGTGTGGTCTGTAGAAATCAAGGGTTAAGCCCCTACTATTTTACCTTTTCCTCTTTCTCTCTCGGTGCTTCCCATAGTTTCCTAATGTACATCATGGAGAGATATGTGGCTAAACAGAAATGGATCAATTAGTGATGAGGTTAGAACTAAAGCCCTATCCAGGGCTCCCAAGAAGAGGAAGCAACAGAAACTGAAAACAACTTTCCATTCAGATGGGGTTAGGGATAAAATTTGAGGAGTCACTGGAAGGTCTATTTATTTGGAGGACTATGAAGAATAATTCCCTGAGCCTGTTGAGCTCTGTGAAGAGGGGACAGAGGAAAGCAGCAAGAGATCAGAAGAGAGAAAGAAGAGCCACTGAAGACAGTGTAAAGTCAGCAGTTACCAGCCCAAACATTTGCTAAGGGACCCCCTAAACAAATCACCTGAATGGTGCAGCAGCCACCAGAAGGAGACACTGCCTATGGCAAGGGCCAGTGGGGAGTGAGATGGTTGTGGTCAGGCCTGATGCACACTCTTGGCAGCAAACCTTCCAGTGAAATTCAGCTAAAATCATCTTCAAGCTCTGTTTGGGATCTGCTAAATCCACCTCTGGTCTTTCTGTCTCTTGTAGCCTTCCCAGGAAGGTAACAACAAAAGCCTAGCTGTTCTTGCTGATAAATGGGAAGGTTTTCTATTCAGGTTTTTATTGTTGCTTTGGAGACACATGGAAAAGCAACAGCAGTGGCTGTGGGTGCATAAAAGGAGCAGGAAAATGGAGCTAAAAGGTAGATGTGACAGAAGAAGCTGAAAGGTGTGAATGGGCAGATAAGGAGGACATACAATATCATCTCCTGCTGCAGATTTGGGAGCTTAGGGGATTTGCTCTAAGTAATGGCAGTGGGAAGTTACCCCAACACAGATGATTTAGAGTGGAAGAAGAAAGGTTTTGAGAGCCCTGAGATTCACCACAAGAGGTTAGTGGACAGGAAAGGGAAATAGCATTAAAAGAAACAAGTTTGGACCTAAAAGAAAGGGTAAGTCTCTGAGAGGTGAGACAAAGGCTCATAGTGGAAATCAGAAGGAAAGCAGCAGCACAAGACAGGATGTTATCATGGCCATGGAAGAAACACACACCAGGCAGTGTGGCTTGTCTGGAGAAGATCTGGGGCAGCATCTCCAGAGGTTGGATAAAGGTCTCTCTCCTCCCAGTGCAGTCCCTAAGGGACTTCTCTCCTCACACCAGTTGCACAGGAGAGCAACTCCAGCAACTGACTCCCATGTGCATCAGCATAAGCTAGAGGAGAGTCAGGAATGGCAATGCCATTGAGTGGGAATGGCAAATGTCCCAGCAAACCAAACATTTCATTTGCCTGCAGCAGTGGGAGGAAGGTGTCAATATCCTTTACCCATAGGGTTTGATTTGTCTAACAGAGAGTTTAAAGCATTTGCTGGACCCAGAAGGAAAATTCTCAGTGCTGAAGGGAGAAGTGAGATAGATCAGAGATGTCCAAGCAAACATTTCTCAGCAGAGTTAGATGTGTTAACTATCAGAGTTAGTTCATTTAACTGAACAGAGTTAGTTCATCTACCAGAGTTGGCTGGGCATGGACTCAGCCCAGGATTCAGCAGTTCAGGGCTGGCCCAGGTCACTGACCAGTGAAAACTGGTCACAGCTTCACCCCAGCTGGGGAAAACTCAGAGATGGGTATGGAATTCCCATAATAATAGGGAATAAAAGGAATAATAAGGGTATACAATAAGGAGTAACAAGGAGTAAAAAGACTCCTAGTGACAACTAGGCATTTAGTGGTTGTTCTTACTGCTTGTCTCAGCAGGACACTGGTTGGGTCAGGAGTGGGAAGAATCCCTTGGAAAAGGGACAAATTATTTCTCTTCAGCTGAGATGGACAGGACCAACACGGGTGCAAAACCCATTGCTGTCCTCTGTGCCTTTTCTCTGGGTTCCCTGTGACATTGGTCACAGAGTCATTGTGCACCTCTGCATTGCACCCTTCATCAACCAACCTCTCAGAGGACATCCTGGGGGGCACCAGAAGGCAGGAGGGGCCTGAACTTACCAGCTTGGACCTGCATGGCAACCTTCATTAAACAACATCTCAGAGAACATTCTGGGAGGGCCTAGAAGGCAGGAAGGGCTTGAACTTACCAGCTTGGACTCGTAGAGCTGTATGTTTTTGCCAAAGAACCTGTGAGGTAGAGGCATCGAAGAGAATATCCCATGCTGGGCTTGATAGGAGCTTTGAACTTTGTCATCTGCTGCTGATTTGCTAGTCCCAGGCAAGTCCTCTTTCCCAGGGGATGGATACCTAGCCAACTCCAAACAGCCTGGAGACAGGACCTTCTTCAGTGAGAAGTATCTGAGTGATGACATCTCTCTGCTGGGTGAGTGTCTCCCAGGGGACACTTCTCCTTCTGGGGGAAGGTATGTTCTTGGGGACAGCTCTCTTCTGGGGGAAAGATGCCTGCTGGGGGACAGCTCAAGCCTTGGTGACACACATCTCAGAGGAGATGCCTCTCTCCTGGGAGAGACACGCTGGCAAGGGGACAAGCCTCTCCCTGGGGACAGGCACCTCAGAGAGGACAGTTCTGAAGTTGGTGAAAACCTTTTGGGTGAAGTTTCATTTTTGGTTAGTAAGTGCTTTCTGGCTAGCATTGGTCTGCTGCTGCCACCACCTCGGGCAGAGTCCTGGCTGGGAGACCACCTCTTCCTTGGGGAGGTGTCTTTTGAGCTGGACAGGTCCATGACTAAGGACATCTGTGGCCTCGTGACAGACTCTCTTTCAGCAGAAGCCAATTGCTCAGTGGAGGTCAAAGCTGGTCTGTGGAGACTCAAGAAGCTGTGGCACACAGCAATGTCACTGCTGTCTGCTGACCACTTGGTTTCCAGCCCTGAGGAGGAGGAGGCCTGCTGGCCTTCACCTACTTTTTGGGTGCTGGAGACAGTTTCTTGGGCTAAGGATGATGCTATTTCAGTGTCTTCCTCTTGAGAAGATGGAGAACCACCTGAAGAGTGCAGCAGGAGGGTGGTAGGTTTGCCTTCTGGCAACTTCAAAGGTGGCTCATCTTGGCTCTCCTCTTCCTCCTCATCTTCCTCATCCTCATTGTCATCATCATCATCAGATTCCTCTAGGTCTGAAAACTGGTGTTCCTCGATTGGCTCAGATCCCTCACGCCCCTCAGAGTCCTGGAATAGGTCTTCACTGGTTCCTGAGGGATGGGAAACACAGAACAGAGTATGAGACACATGTGAAGCATCTGTTTTGGGGCCAAATCTGCTCCCAAGTCCTAAGGGTACAAGAGGAGAGAGGACTTGGCTCTTTCCTAGACCTGATCATCTCATGCTTTGAAGCTGCATCCCCTGGATCATAATGATCCCACTAGATCCCAGTGAATCCCACCACTGGGACCTCCCACTCTACCCCAATTTCAGTTCCAACTGTCAACACACAAATAAAGGCAAAAAAGGTCTTCAATAAACAAGGCAAACAGAAGCAGTGTCACCCCTGCGTGGGGATTTTATGACTATTTGATGCACTCCAAAATATCTACAGCTGCCAAAGTATGGCAAAGTTCCTCAGCTCCATGTGTTGGGCCTTCTCCTGCCTAGATTTCCTGACAGTTAAACATGAGCAAGAAAGGATTTTGTTATAAATCAAGCAATAGGGTTGAAAGAACCTCTGTGGCTTTTGCCTTAAGATGACAAATTCTAGCTGTGCTACAGATGCTGCTTTGTGGCAGAGGCTTTGGAGCCTGTGTGTGTGCAAGGCCTTGCAGAGGGATGCTTTGTGAATCAGAGAATCACACTTTCATAGCATGTTAAGGGGCTGAAAAAAAACTGTGTCAGCTCTTTGGAACTTGGTGTGAGGGCAGTGTGACACTTTGGAAAGGCTCCCAGTGAGGCTGCTCAGGTCCTGGAGAGTTTAGCATTGTGTGCTCATCTCATCCCACTGTTAGCCATCCCCAAACTGTGGCTAGGAGGCCAAAACCTCCTTTCCAAGCCAAGGGGAGGGCAGGCAGCTTGCAGGCATAGACAGAGGAGTTGTCATCCACACTGCTGTGTGCAGCATCCCCAGGGGCTGGAAAACCCTCCCATGGGAATGCCCAGAAACAGGTTGGGTGCTGGGACACAGCAAAGTCACTGCCTCTGGTCTCCACATCTCATTTTTTCCCCAGAGCAGGGAAATTTAAACAGTTTATATTTAAAAATGTGAGATTTTGTCATTTCACTCCTTAACATGGATTGGAATGGACCTTAGAGATCAACACAGTGGCAGTTTGACAGGCTGGAAGAGTAGTGGGAAACATCAGCAGAGCTCTTGAGAGAAAGAGGAGCTGGAATGGAATCTGTTACTGAAATCTACTTCTGTGCAGTGCTGGAAGGAGGAGGAACACGAGGGACTGGAACCCACAGCCAACACTGAGACTGATCTGATGCCCAAGACAGTGAGAGCTCACAGGTGGCCTCACCTCCAGTCCTGGGGACAGTTTTAGGTGCCACAATATAAGATCTAAAGCTATCAAAAGCATGCAAAGGAGGGACATGGAGGTGGGGAAGGGCCTGGAGGGGTCACA